CAAAATGTGTAAAGATTTATTTTATTATTCTGAACCAGGACTAAATTGATTGCCAGAAAGATAAGACAGTGCAATCCTAAACATACTTGTACACTTGTAAATTCATGGAAGCCAGAAAGTTTTAAAAGGCTGCACAGCTCTCTTGAGGATTGCAGTGAGACTGCTGTGAACAGCTGCAGGCCAGTTCAAAGGGCAATGAATCACACTTCCCATACTCCAAATAACCCTAGGGGGAAAGATGGAAGCGAGAAATCTGCTGGACGTGGATTCTCAAGCCCCCCCTTCCTCACTGCTCTACCATTAAAAATGAAGGATACAAATCCAAGACATACAACAGGTAAAGGTTTGAGTAGAGTTTTCGCTCACGGACCAAGCACGTGAAGATCTTGGGCTGACAAGAGCGACCTTGATCCACCCCACCCCGTGTTAATTGCACCTGAGTTGACAACGTGGACACAGGCTAATTAATACCGTTTATGTTTCTGGCAATAGTAACTTACCAAGGACGAAACTACCAGTGGTTTACTAGAGTCACCCCAGCCCAGTCACAAGTTGTAAGGAAAAATGGCGAGTGCAGAGTAGTCACTGTCAAAATTTTATTTACCTCTTTGAAGCTCTCGGAGCAACAACAGAAGAGCACAGAGAGGATTCCAAACTGCGTCTGTATAACATACGCAGTCCACAGAGATGAAGAGAAAATTCTCATATCTTAATACAAGGCATTCCCAATTACCTTTAAGGAGACAGAAATTAAGAAAAATAAAACACTTGCCTCAAGCAGTTCAGCAGCTGCCGGTTGTGAAACCTTCGCCCTGGAGTTTTTTTTTAAAAAGCATGCTGGGATTTGTAGTTAACTGTGAAACGTAACTCTTCAGAGGAGTTTAAAACATTGGAGTTTAGATACCGCCATCTAGTGAGATTTTACTATATTAAAACTACGTTGTTGCATCTATCAAAAATAGTTTCTTCAGATGGCTGTTTATGAAGCTCCTAACCAGTGTTCCCTCTAAGCTGAGTTAGTGTGAGCTAGCTCAGTTTTTTAGCCTCTGGCTCAGACATTTTCGTCTCAGCTCAGGAAGGGATGGCTCCAGAGCAAACTGAGTTATGCAGTAGCCAAATCGCTCGCTCACAACTTTAATGCCAGTAGCTCACAAAGTAGAATTTTTGCTCACAAGACTCCACAGCTTAGAGGGAACATTGCTCCTAATTACTCTAATCTCTGCTGGAAGTGCCAGTAAAAAACAAGAACTTTTTACCATGTGTGGTGGAAATGCCCCAGAACTAAAAGTTATTGGATAGGAGTGCAGGAAATTATCAAAATAAATAAATAAATAAACCTAGGAATTCCCAGAACTTTTTTTGTTAAGTATTCTACCAAAAGAACACCAAAAAGATTTGCATTGTATATTATTATTTCAGCAAGAATCTTGTTTACAAGATACTGGAGGAAAATCAGATAGAACAGACATTATTGCTAAAATATTGGAAGCGGCTGAATTTGATAAGCTCACCTGTTATCTAAAAGAAAAGACAGAAGTGGTCAAAGTTCTATAGTTGGATAGAAAACCAGGACAGAGGAAATTACAAAGGATAAGATAGATATAGGAGGCAAGATTAATAACTGTTTAGTCTGATATTGGCTATCGAAAACTATAATGGAAAAAATTTAGCAGTCTAGTATAAAAATAAATATATAAAGGTTATATATAGATTATAAGGTAGAAGTAGCAAGCTTAGCCTCACTCTTTTGTTGTATTTATGTAGAATTGTGATAGTATATGCTCTTGTGTCTCTATGTGTTATTGTCAAAATAATAAAAGGAGTGAAAAGAAAAAAAGAAGGGACATTCAGCAATGCATCTTGCATAGTTTTCAATATTTGGATTGGAATCTGGCATCTGTGTTCTCTGTGTTTAGAATGAAAGTCTCCTGTGGCCAGAATTGCTTGACCAATATGTGCTTAGAAGTCAGACTTTTTCTTCTTCTTAGGCAGAACAAGATGCACCCAAGAATAGCTGTCCAAGCAGAGGTGAATGTATGTGCTTTGTTTCTATCCCGCTTTCCTTTCCGATGGTGGCCCAGAGCCTCTTATTGTTCTCCTCTCCTCCGTTATAGCCTCACAACAGTCCCTTGAAGTAGGTTACACTGTGAATGTGTGACCGGCCCAAGATCACCCCAGAAGCTTCCAGAGCAGAGTGGGAATTCAAACCTGGATCTTCCAGAGGCTAGTTCAAAACACTAGTTGCTACACCATATACACCTTCATTTTTTAAAGAAAGCACATGTGCAGATTGGTGTTCCCTCTAAGCTGAGTTAGTGTGAGCTAGCTCAGTTTTTTAAAACTGGCTCACACATTTTTGTCTGAGCTCAGGAAAGATGGCTCCAACGCCAACTTATTTATGCAGTAGCCAAACCGCTCGCTCACAACTTTAATGCCAGTAGCTCACAAAGTAGAATTTTTGCTCACAAGACTCCACAGCTTAGAGAGAGCATTGGTGCAGATAAATTAGGCAGTTCTGTTGCTCAAGAGCCAGCATGCTGTAGAGCAGCAGACTCTAATCCGGAGAATTGGGTTTGATTCCCCACTCCTCCACGCAGCCAGCTGGGTAACCTTGGGTCAGTCACAGTTCTCTCAAAGCTCTTTCAGCCCCACCTATCTCACAGGTAGGTGTTATGGGGAGAGGAAGGGAAGGGGTATAGATCCAATTTTTCTTCTTCAACCAGTCCATATTAAGAATTGGACACCTCTTTGAAAACCCGAGAAAAAGTTCTCTCAATATTTTTTAAGAAGTTGTTAACTGCCTAGAAGGGAAGTCCAGCCCACCTGTGGAAACCATGTCTGAAATTTTAATAGGGGGTGGGGGTTAACCCCCCCAATAATACAAGGAATACCTGTGGCTTTAAGAAACAGACGCCTTCAACAGCCACTATTACAACAGTATTGCCAACTGTCCAGGTTCCATTTCTTTCAGTAATATGAAGGGGGAGGGGGGAAGGGCCCTTTCCAGGTCTGATTTGGCCTTTGGGGAGGACTGAGGGCCAGGCCTGATAGCAACCACAGGGTGACTTGCTAACTACCCACCATGCATGACTTACCCAGGTCTGGTTACTTGCTACTGTTCAACAGTAGCCACCCCACAAAACTCAGTGTGGTATAGGGTTGCCAGGTCCCCCGATCTCTGTAGTCTGGAAATGAGCTGTAATTCCTGCAAATCCCCAGGTCCCACCTGGAGGCTGGCATCCCTAGCTGTGGTGCAGTAGCTACAACTTCAGATTAGAATTTGGGAGACCCAGGTTCAGAGCTACCAGTCTGCCTTGGAAGCTCATTTGGTGACCTTGGGCCAGTTACAAGCTCTCAGACTTCACAGGGTTATTATGAGGATACAATGGAGAAAATGATACAGGTGGCTTTGGATCCCCATGGAATAAGGTGGGGTAAAAATGAAGTCAATATAGCCAGTGGGAGGACAGATGAAAAGCAGGTTGGTAGGTGGATGACTGATGCAGCAGGGAAAGGATGTGGAAATAGTGCAGGGAGATACAGAGGAAAGTGAGGTGTTCCCTGCAAGTCCTTATGGGTTCCCTACTTTGCAAGTGGGCCTGGACCAGTAGCCAGCACCACACAACTGGGCAATAGTACAAGGAATAATAATACAGTAACATCTGAACTGAACAGAACTGCTGTCATTTCTAGCCCGTGCTGGTGTGAGCTACCAGCCTTGTCCCCAGCTCGCCATCCACCCAGCAGTTCGAAAGCTTCGGCGAGTAGATAAAATGGGTACCACTCCTTAGAGAGAGTGGGAACACTACCCCCCCCCCCCGTGGGGGAGGTGTTAGCAGGTGAAATGGAATGTCCAGCTCATAAGCCTGGAAAGATCTCCTCGGCATCAAGAAGCCTGTGATGGGCCGATCCGGCCAGGCGGTGGCAGTGCGGCGCTGCGACTTGAAGCAGTCCTGGAAAAAGCTGACGTCATCAAGCCAAGCCGAGTAAATGCCGTCTGGAACACGTCTAAGCCTACAGCTGAACAAAATCTCCGTTGGCTGCAAATGTGTGCGACTTAAGATTTATATGTTGTCCTCCTTTACCCCTATGAATCATTGTTAGTCCCGTGTGAATATGTGTAACTGTAAATCACTCAGAGCCAGCAGCTCTGCAGGATTGAGCGATTAGTAAATCGAAAGATATAAAGATATATATATAGTTTTCCCAGGTAGAGGTTGCCAGGTAGGGGAAGGGAAGGTGAAGACAGGGGCAGATAAAAGGTTAAGGGTAGGGTAGGTTGGACAGAATGAAGCAGAAAAGGGGAGAGGCTGTAGGGGCTTTCAGGGAAGGGAGAGAGAAGAGGAAATAGTGCGGGAGGGGGAAATGAGCTATCCACTGCAAGTCCTTGCAGGTCCTCTGCTTGTATTATTTATAGGGCAAAACAGAGGATGGAATGCAGAAGACACTCATCAACTATGTGGACCAAAATGCTGCTGGATTTCGAAGGGTTCAAGCTGTGTAAATGGTATGTAAGAAGGATGGCTGGTTACCCACCAATTTAATCTTAGTTCACAATTATATCCATTCACTGAGCATAATAATATCCCTGCTTCTCTAGTTATCTGGTCAACTACTATATCATCTATAGCAGTCTATTTTTGGAGATGGTGAGGACTGACAAAACCATAGCCAGGGCTGTTGTATAAACGGGAACCAATGTCTGATTCTGTGCCCATTGAAAGTCAAATAATGGGCAAGGAAACGGCAAGGGATGTCTTTCATTACCAGTGTGTACAGTTCTTTATGGGGAAACATGACAACTCAGCCAGCCGCTTGCAAGAGAAACAAAATTTAAAAGAGTCATCCTAGGTTTCAGAGACACGCTTGAGAAAGACCAGCTCAGTAGAACCATAAGGAAAGGCAGGATATAAATATTTTTAATTAAATAAACAACCCAAATCTTGCAAAAATTGACATTTTATTTAAACATTACAAAAAAGTGAAAATTTAAAGGAGGAATATGTGTGGACACACAGATAAATACAACATGTGTTATTGTGTCTTGCACTGAGGGGTACCCTCTTTATTTGTTTTTGCTATCCAGTGTTTAAGACTGTCCTCTGAAGGTGCCTTTTCTGGAGACGCGCCACCTGCAGGCTTTTCATCTGTTGGAGATAAAGAACGTGCAGTAGTTAACTTAAATTTGTTAAAAAATCTGCAATCCGACACATGCCCTGAAATTACCGGTAGTGTTAGAAGATAAAAAAGTTGTGGCAGATGTGCATACAGCACTGTATCATTAGTCCTTGCATGGAGATTGACATTTATAAACTGTGTCAGTAGAAAAAAAGGCAAGAATTTAACTATCGGTGTAGTAGGTTACAAAAGCCCTGTCAAGTACAGTGTGCAATTGCACTGTCAACTGTGTGAAGACGAGGACAAACTACATTTTGGAACCTATGAGCTGTGCTGGGCAGGAACAATCAAGAGATTTATGGTGCAAATGCTGGCAGATAAGGACTGCAAATATGCTGCAAGGTATGTTTAAGAGAAACCCCTGGATCTGGAAACTTCTGATCATGACACTCCCACTAAATGCCAGGACCAAGGACTTACCAGGGGTCCTGTTTGTGGGCCTGCTGCTGGGGCAGAGGGAATGGAAAGGAGATGGCAGCCAAGCGTCTGTTAGCTGGCTACATCGGCAGCGTTGGGCTCAGCTGGGGACCAGGCGGCTGCAACACGGGAGGGATGCTAGCAAGCCCCTTCCTGGCATCAGACCAATCAGGCCAGTTGTGAAGGCTGAGGGAGGGGGCAGGCACCAGCAGGCAGGTAGAAGGCCCTCTCGCACCACCTGGGCCTCACGGTGGTATCAGAATGAGGCCGGATCCATTGTAGGAGCCTGTTTTCCCTGCTTCTGGTGATCCCCTAGGGGATTTGGGGGGGGGGATGAGGGCTATCAAGTGACACACTGAGGGGGCTTTCAGGGTTACCCACTCCTAAGTGGCAGGGCAGACCACACATGTGTCTAAACTGAACTAAGACAGAAGGTACTCTAAAGATAACTATGATAGGATGGTATGATTTTGCTAAATAATAGCACTCCCTCAATGAACAGAAGATTTGTTTCACCAACCATGAATCTTCCTTCTCAGTGGTCCAGGGGTGGGGCAGTCTTCTAGGATAGTAGCTCCTCCCCTCTGCAGGCAGGATCGTCATCTTTGCAATCCCAGAGGGGAGGGGCTTATCCCAGAACTCTCCAGTCTTGTTTCCAAGCCATGACTCTCCCTCTTCATAACAACCAGCAACTCAGAAAAAACATCATTAGGAAAACTTACCTAAGGAACAACTAGAACGAACCACAAAAAAGCAACTTCACAAGTTCTAAGGAACGCTAGGGGAGATGGCCCCAACCACTCCCTACCGTGTTTCCCCGAAAATAAGACACTGTCTTATATTTATTTTTTCTCAAGAAGACACACTAGGGCTTATACCACAAATGCATAGAAATCCTGCTAGGGCTTATTTTTGGAGTAGGTCTTATTTTCGGGGAAACAGGGTAGCTTACAGGCAGTGTTCCCTCTAAGCTGAGTTAGTGTGAGCTGGCTCACAATTTTTTAGCCTCTGGCTCACACATTTTTGTCCTAGCTCAGGGAGGATGGCTCCAGAGAAAACTAATTTATGCAGTAACCAAATTGCTCGCTCACAACTTTAATGCCAGCAACTCACAAAGTAGAATTTTTGCTCACAAGACTGCACAGCTTAGAGGGAACATTGCTTACAGGCCCTCCAGATAGAAAGAGACGGTGGCCAAAAGGAACCTAAATTCTACCAGCAGACACTCTTAGCACTAGGAGCCCATATCAGAAAAAAAAACCCTCAGGTGGCTAAGACTGCCCCACCCCTGGACCACTGAGAAGGAAGATTCACAGTAATTGAAACAAAACTTTCATTCTCCAGTGGTCCTAGGGGTGGAGCAGTCTTCACTTCTGGGACATAAAAAGCAGAGTGCCTCACGGTGGGAAGAACCTGGCTCCTAGGCCAGAAGGGTGTGCTGTAGGACCAACCTTCCAAAGGCCGTGTGAGCGGAGGCTACCTTGTCTATCCTGTAATGCCTGGTGATCGAGTGCACAGACCTCCAGGTAGCTGCCTTACATACTATTTCCAAGGAAGGGAAAGACCTAAAGGTTGCTGAAGTTGCCGCCCCTCTTAAGGAATGGGCAGTGATGCCCTGTGGCGGATCCAAACCTGTGGCCTAATAAGCCAGGATAATGCACTCTATAACCCATCTACTCAAGGTGGACGTACATACCCAAGGAAGACTTCCTGAAAAGACAAAAATGGAGTCAATTCTAAGGAGTGGTTTGTTCTATCAAGAAAGAAACTCAGAGCCCTCCTTACATGTAGACAATGCCACTCCTTCTCCTTAGCACTGCTTAGGAATGGGACAAAAGGAATGCAAGACTGCATCCTCCACCCTATAAAAGGTGGAATTCACTTTGGGTATAAAAGCTGGGTCCAGTTGCAGCACTACTCAATTGTGGAGGATACAAAGTTCTTTATCTGTGGAAAGAGCCTGCAGCTCAGACACCCTTCTGGCTGAGGTAATGTCCACAGGGAGCCCCGAATAGCACTTTGAGTACTAAGTTCAGGCTCCAGGTTGAGAAGCAGTGAACCTGGGGAAGATTTAACGAGAAGGTACCCCTGAGGAATCTCCTAATGTGAGGGTGTTGGGACAAGGATTTCCCTTTCCTGGTACCTCTAATGGCTGAATAAAGCTGCCATCTGTCTTTTGAGTGTACTGGTGGCCGAGCCCTTCCTGCAGGAAAGAGAGTGCCTCTCTAACTGATGTAGAGAGAGGATCTATTCTTTGTTTTAGGCCCCAGGCCTGAAACACCTGCCAGGTGTTCTTGTAGACCCTGTCTGTAGAGCCTTTGCTGGAGGCTAGCATGGTAATAATCATCCACTGAATATCCTATCTCTACAAGTTGTCCTCAGCCTGCAGGCTGTCAGGTTTAGGAGTCCCAGTTGAGGATGCTTTATTGGTCCTTGCAGAGGATGCCAAGAGTTCTTGGAGTAAAACCTTATCAGATGGTTAATGGGATTGCTATGATCTGAAGATAACTGCCAAAGATGTCCTGCTGCTAGGCAGGGCCAAACAAACTGGAGAGTCCTGGGATAAGCCCCTCCCCTCTGGGATGGCAAAGATGATGACCCTGCCAGCAGAGAGGAGGAGCTACTATCCGAGAAGTGAAGACTGCCCCACCCCTAGGACCACTGGAGAATCTGATAGCAAGGACTGGATCTGACACATATATGAAGCTACCTTATACTGAATCGGACCCTTTGTCCATCAAGATCAGTACTGTCTATTTAGCCTGCCAGCAGCTCTTTAGAGTCTTAGGCCGAGATCTTTCATCTACTCCCTGATCTTTTAAACTAGAGATGCCAGGGATTGAACCTGGGACCTTCTGCTTGCCAAACAGATACTCTTACCACTGATCAATGACCCCTTCCCCAAGGCTTTAAAAATGCTTCAACAACAAAAGGGCCTTGTAGATTTGTATAGAAAAATTGCTTCCTGCTTTCTATATCCACATGCCTTCTCCTGTGATGTCTTTCTGATAACAGGCTGTGTCTTGTTTCCTGTTGCAAGCCAAATGGTCGGGCCACATGGCCTCAACAGCCATGCCAAAAACCCACATTCTTTCACACTTTCATGCCAAAAGCCAGACCTCGTGGCTACACTTTCTGGCCCACATGAGAATAGTCACGTAGGCCATGAAGTACCTGGAAACTAGGTCAATTGCTTGCAGGCGTGGTCTCCAAACTTCTAGCCTATCCCCACATGCAACTATGACAACCAACAATTGGGCACACCCATGCCCACTCGTATTGGCTAATAGCCACATCTAATTTGTGACTGGAATTGGACTATAACTGTTTTGATTCCTATGGGAATGAGCTTCTTGCTCTTAGCTCTTGCTCTCTTCCCTTCCTCCTCTTGTCAGAGTCTGTTTTATGACACCTGAAATGCGGCCTCTTGAGAGACAAAGAGTTGCTTTGTGACTTGGAGCACATGGTGTGCAGAGATGGGATTCCTACTCAAAATCCCTTGGTGCTACCTGTATTATTACCATGGACAATCTTGAACTCTGGGATGCTATCCTGATCTTGGTAACTATGAATCTTTAATGTGTAGTTAAGGCATATTGCCCTAGCCTTTGTTATTTTTGTAATCTTTTATAGTCTGTTGCTATGCTCTGTACTGAATAAAAAATTATTCTTATTTCTAATGGGTCATGTTGTAACTCGCATTCCAAGCCTAAATCTTGTAGCCTAAACGCTCACCCCATACGCTACCTTGGTTAAAAGTGTGCATCTCTGAAGTGAGTTGCTAAGGTGTTCTGTCCCAGATGCTAAGGGTTTGGAATCTCTCCCTTAGGAAAGGCAGGAACTTGTGAAAAGAGGTTCTGGTGGCACATTGTTCTGAATCCAGAGAGGGTATAGACCATCTCGTGGTTTGTTGTTTAATGTACTGTAAAAGTACAGGGTTCCCTTCCATTCCTGGACTGGCCTGGGTGGGCTAATCCTGTACAAGATTATTTTAAAGAATGAACTCCTAACTGCATATCATTATCAACAGGTGCAGTTAGAGCACTAGAAACAGACTGTACTTGTAACTGAGAGCTCCAAGAAGCTGCATGTCAGTATTCTTCAGCCAACCTTGCACTCAACGATTAATTTTGTTTAGTTTTCACCTTTTGGTGTGGCAATTAAGGCTGTAATTCTACACACAAAAGAGGCAGGAAAGAACAGTTGGGCCCAAAAACTCACTGAGCACTGGAATACAAAAGTACCACTGCTGTCTTGTTGCATTGGAGCTTTCAGAGCTATAGTCTTGATGTGGGAAACTGATCATCATACAAGGAAATGGAGCATTCAAATAACCCGTAAACAAGTTTTATATGGGCCAACCCTGATAAGCTTCATGCAGTTGAGTCTTAAAGAGTGCCATTTATGCCTTCTGTAATTAGGGGATAAATCTAAATATGGCCAACATGCAAAGAAAGGCTTTGATGAAGCAAAGTAGGCCCGAAGTACATCCTAAGTTACCTACCGTTAAAGCTCCCCAAGCGTGAATTATCAAAGAAAGTTGTTGGACGATCCAATGCCGGGGCCGGTAGTAAAGAGCATTCCTTAGGAGGAGGAGGCAGGTCTGCTAATGAGGGAGGTGCTGTTTTCCTTGGAGATTTTAACCTTTTTTCTTCACTCATGACTCTGGATTGTTCTCTCATCTTCAGCACTCGCTCTTTCCATTTCTTAACTTCCTCTTTCAAATGGAGTTCACTTCTTAAAAAGACAAACACAAGTGTGGAAGCATTCAGTGTTCAGCTGAACTCTACAAAGATTATTATTTTTAATAAGAGAAAAAAGGTTTTGTGCTTAGGTAGAGGAAGCTGTTCCATTGCAGACACCTCTAATGACAATACTGCTAATGTGAATATTCAGATGGTTCACTACTGGGATGAGATTTTCCCACTTGTCAGCCAGTTATCCTTAGTCGGATTTGTACTGCTACTTAAAATTGGTTTCAGCCTGGTCTCCCATGTGCCTGGGGGGGTGCCACTTTTTACAGGGGAATACAAATGACCATCCAGAACACACCCTTCCACATGGAGTGCGATCCTGATTCTAAAAACATTTATTTGGAAGTCCGATCTTGCAACTTCAGTGAGGATTATTCTTAAGTGGGTATATGATTGCAATCTTGCTCTGTTTGAATACTTAGGTATTTGTTATGTACAAGGATGGGAAAATAGAAGTTAAGACCAACTTTGAGTGTAAGTTAGCTGTCCGTTTTGTTCTAATATTCAGCTTTGAAGCCTTTAGATGAAGTTGAGGGCAACAACTGAAGAACGTTCTGCAATGAATATGTACCTGCAACTGCTGGGGGGTAGGGATGCCTGTCAGCTAGTCAGTGGAATGAGTGGCTGAATTAACAATATTTGATATTTGGCCATGGCCAAATATTCCATGAAGGCAAGCCAAATGGTGCCCTGCCTTCATGATGTCCTTGGATAACAGAGACTAGAATAAGGGTTCTACACACACAGCTTGGGCCATTTTTAATCCTACATTTCAGCTAAAAATTCGTTCCCAAAGCCGCTCATGGTCTTGGAAAGCTCAGTATAAACCATTCCTCGGGGAGCGGATTCACAACTGGAGCTGGATGAAGGCAGAATTTTGAAGTCACCCCTCCCCTTGTACTAGAATGCCAGCTACGTTTGAAATGTGACTTGCATATGTTGGTTTAATTCCGTGTATTAGTTAATTGGGATATTTTGGGGTCCGACCCCCTCTCCCAAACCCAAGATTTAGTCTCTTCTGTTCTTGGCTGCGAATAAATACAGATAACAATTACTTATAACTTGATTGCTTGACCACTTAGCCAAAAGGTTACAATCTTTTGTCACAATTCTACTACATTTATGATAAATGTTTCACCACTAGCTGATCTCATTTAGTCAATATATCATAATCAATAAAAATCTCCAGGGGAAGCTTTCAACAATAACATTTGCAATAAAATAGTGTTTAATAAAACTACATCATTAAACTAAAAGCCAGAGCAAGAGGAGTAAAAATGATCAGCAGTAATAACAAATAGTTAAAACACTTTAAAAGGATAGCAGCAACAGAACAAGCAGGAAGAATAAGGAATGGAAGAAACATGTAAAAGGAAAACAAGGTTGGAAAGAAGAAGAAGAAGAAGAAGAAGAAGAGGAAGAGGAGGAAGAGGAGGAGGAGATTGGATTTATACCCCGCCCTTCACTTGGAGTCTCAGAGCGGCTTACAAACTCCTTTCCCTTCCCCTCCCCACAACAGACACCCTGTGAGGTGGGTGGGGCTGAGAGAGCTCTTAACAGACACTGCTCTTTTTCAAGGACAGCTGTGCCAGAGCTTGTGACTGACCCAAGGTCACATCAGCAGGTGCAAGTGGAGGAGTGGGGAATCAAACCCGGTTCTCCCAGATTAGAGTCCGCACACTTAACCACCACACCAAACAATTACCGCCCCCCCCCCAAAAAAAAACTCCGGCAAACAATCAACCCCATCCAACTTACAGGAAAGGTGAACCAGCATAAGGCAGGCTCCAATGGATCTGTTCCAATAACAGCAGTGTCTTCCTCCTGTGTAAAGAGCCTCTTTTGCTAGGCTTTTGTATCACTTCCTCATGCCAGAGGAAGACACCCCCAATAGTGGAACAAATCTGTTGGAGCCAGGCCATGATGTCGCCTGCCAGGGTCTGACCGCCCATTCTTTCTGTAGTCTAAGGGAAGCAGCCAAACAAATACTTTATTAAACTTCAATGATACCAGTCATATGCGCTTGCAAAAACCCAGTTCTTCTTGGTAAAGAAACCACGACAGAGAATTAGTTCTTTTTTTAAAAAAAAGCAACAAAACCTAAGCTTCAAAGAGGCAGGCAATGATAAATGAAAACAAAGGTTCTAGATCATTCTTAAGACTCACTTCAGCACCAGTTCGTGTTCTTTCTTGAGTCTGATGACTTCCCTCTCTAGTTTCACATGCTCAGATTTCAGCACGAGCATCTGGGTATTTTGTACAATTCCACTTCCGCCGCCGCAAGTTATCGACAGGGGTGGCTGAGGAATGTCTTGGCTGGGCATGACTGGAAAATAATTCATGAGAAACGGAAGCATAAAATCCACCACAGCAGAGCAGCCGCCTCTGATGAGCAACATCCAGATGACCGTCTCCTTCCATGTGTCCCTGGGAGTCAACTACGGTCATCAGGCAGGGTGGCCTGTCTGGCATAGACCAGAGCCTGGGCTTTTCCCACTGTGGCTCCAGCTCAGTGGAATGAGCTCCCTGAAGAGGTGAGGGGGTCCCCTCCTTGGAGATCTTCAGGAGGCACTGCAAGGTCTGCCAGTTTACCAGGACTTTTGAGGGGGTTTGAATTGGCAGGCATCTTTCAAGGGCTAGGGGGTGAGATTTGGGGTTTGTTATTTTATTTTTGATTTTTTTTTAAACCAAACATGTTTTTAAGTATTATTGTAAGCCAGCTTGACCTACAAGAAATGGTTAAGATATCTGCATACTCTCAATGTCTCAATAAACTTTAATTATTTGAATGAAAGCTGTTGGGAACTGATTACTGCAGGAGTCTGACAGGTGGAATATAAACATTTTCATAGATAAGGAAAAGGAATGTTGGAGCAAGTGAGGAAATATTTCAACCTTCCAGCCTGCATAACTGACATAGTAGATTGAGAACAGGTCTATTCCCAAATGCTGAAGACCACCAGCTGTTCTTGAAGTACACCGCTGTGACTCAGCTTCACTTTTAAAACTAAGTCACAAGTGTGCTTGTTCAAGATTTCAGAGCTGGAATTTTAATCACAGAATTCTAACTTTCAAACTTTAAAAAAAGGCTTCTGTAAAAACCACAGCTCAGTTTTGATGCCATCAGAAGTACCAGGCTGTACAGCACAAAACAAATCATGAAAAAGCTTCTCAATTTCAGATGGGGATTTCATCAGATGGTTTTATGGGGCCAAAAGGACAGATGCAGGGATTTGTTCAAGAATCTGGGTTATTCTTTGAACATTAATTGAGAGGAAAGTCTCTACTTTCCAGTAAGCTCTCTTCTTTTAGTTGCCCACTTGAAAGTAATATCTTATTCTTTGTAGAAATCCACTTTGTGCAATTTGATATGCCTAGCAGATGTTTACTTGGTACTCACTTGTTGCATCCTGCTCGAGTTGTGCTCTGCGTAGGTCTTCCCTTAGTTTTCTTAGCTGTTCCTCTTTGTGTTCTGCAAGAGCTTTTGCGTTTGTCATTCTAGGGAGAAATACCAGTCTTAGTGTGACTTACCGTCCTCGTTCAATACTTTTAAAAAGTTTCAAAGGAATATAAGAGCAGCCCGGCTGGATCATACCAGTGGTGTATCCAGTACAACTACTTGTTTCACACAGGGGCCAACACGTTTCTTTTTTAAAAAAATATTAAAAATATTTATTAGCCGCCTTTCTTATAATATTAATAAAATACATGAAAATCCTTTGATGTTGCCTCCTTGTATAAAAAGGCTTTCTGCCTCTGAATATGGAGGTCCCCCCCCCCCCTTCAGTCACCATTGATGGACCTGTCCTCCAGGAATCTGTGTGACCTCCTTGAAAAAGCTATCCATGCTCAGGGCCATCACCACATCCACTAGCAGTGAATTCCACAACTACTTGTTGAGTGAAGTAGTCTTTCCTTTTGCTCACCCTGAATCTATTATCCATCCACTTCACTGGCTGCCCCTGAGTGCTAGCATAATGGGAGAGGGAGAAAAGTTCTCTCTATCCACTTTCTCTACCCCACGTATAATTTTATAAAGCTCTATTTATGTTCCCCCTCGTTATCTTTCCTAAACTGAAAAGCCCCAGACTCTTCAGTTTTTACTCATAGGAAAGGTGTTCCAGCCCCATAATCATCTTGGCTACCCTCGTCTGTATTTTTTTCCCCAGCTCTGCAGTGTTGTTGTTTTTAGACACAGTGGCCAGAACTGCACAGAGTACTCCAAATAGTTGCTTTTTTCTAAGTACTCAAGAGTTATTTCCACCTGAGTCTAAAAAGGCATATCATACCCAATTTAAAAAGCTTAACAGTAGCAGCATTAATCATTAAACCCAGAATCTACCTGATTATTATTAAACCCAGAATCTAAGCAGAGATGCATTCTCCTAAGCCTTCTGGTTTCAAAGGACTTAGAATTGTACTGCAAAGGTCATAGAAATAAGGCCTTTATTTTTCAGCTGCAGCTAGAGGAGGCAGCTGCTTGACACATCCCTCCAAGCATCTATGACACAGGAAGGCCCTGCCCTACCCTGGTCCCCTGTTTACTTAGTCCCGGTTAAGCTGGATTCAGTTTAAACATTTAAGCTGTATATAAATATGTACACTGTGCCTCTTCTGGTTGCTAAGTCAACTAAACCAACAGGACGACTCTAGTGTTAACACAAGTCTCTCAAAATTGAGGTACTTGGTTCTTCTCTGAGAGGGATGCAAAGACTCAAAGGTACCGAAGCATGGTTAAGCTTTCTCCATCCATGGTTTGAGATACAAGGGAAGAAAAAGCAAGTAATTGGTCAAATGCAAAAGGGGACAGGTGAAAGCTTCCACCATGTGCTATACAAGACACTCACTGCAGGACGGGAGCTGGCAAAACCACCTGGGAACCATCCTATTCCAGATGTTCCAAAGTTATATTTTACCAAACCTACTGTTGGAATCTCAGCTAGCAAAGTTTTGAAAAAGCTATCAGCAAGGAAAGTTGAACTTACTCCCGGTCAAACCATTTGGACTGTTTCATTAGTGCCATATCAGCTTTAGCAAGCTGCATTTTGAGGTCCTCAATTTCTTCCTTATACAGCTCAGCACCTTTGCTGAGCTGGGCCTAAACAGGGGCAAAGAGGAGAAAAGAAGACACATGGGAGGAAAATCCTGCTGTTTATTCCTCTGTGTAGATTCCTCCCCAAGGTAACAGTTAGGCAGTTTTAAAAGGCTTGGATTTTTAAAGTACCAGGCAGGAAAACATTACCAGGCCTGTGGCGTAAGGCTCTTCTTGTTTCAGTAAATAAACACTAAAAAGCCTCTACATCCAAAACATTTTTTATCTGCCTTTCACAGAGCGTAGGTTACCCAAAGCAGCAAACAGTCCATTGAAACAAGCCTTTAAAAACATATAGTATAAAAACAATTAACAACATTAAAATACATACACACAAAATTAAACCACAGTCACAGGAATGAGGGTCACTGAGGGAATGTCAAATGAAACAGTTACATTTTCACCTGCTGAAGACAATGATAGAGGGGGATCCCCCTGGGGGAGGGAATTTCAGTTTGGGTGCCATGACCAAGAAGGCCAACACAGTTTGCCATCAGTCTTGCCTTTGATGACAAAGATGACTAATGTTCAGGTGGATTCATAGGGGCATAGGTGGTCCTTATGTTGGTCCCACCCAAGCCATACAGGGCTTTGAAGGGCCATACCAGCCCTTGAATTGGGCCTGAAAGGGTAAGAGTAACACATCACTCCGCAAGCTCATGTACTGTTCCTCCTCCTGTACCATGCAGCTTTGCAAATATTAGGCCATTTGAGAATCTCTGTCACCTGTCCATAATGGGAAGTAGGAAGGCAGATTTATTAACAAGGCTGCACATACCTTGAGAGTCTGGTTCTCCGTTAGTGTATTAGTTAGGCAGTTCTCTTTCTCCTCTAATGCAGTCCGAAGTCGTAAAACTTCACTCTTGGATGCTCTCACTTTAAGCTCCATTTCTAGCACCGCTATTCTTTGCTCCTTTTCCAGAAGTTTTTTCCTTGCTCCATTTGCTGCATTTTCCAGTTCTTGGATTTTCACCTTCAGATCCTTTGAACGAGTATATGCTGTTATTTTAATGGCTGTTGTCCAACCACCTGAAGTTTACATCATCAGTAACAACTGGAGACACCAATGGAATCTGTGTGTTTTTGCTGTTGGAGACAGCTCGTCCTATGTCACTGTGGCTCAGAACAGTTTTAGCAATCCTATTTTTCAGGCTGAGGCACTTTAAGAGCAAGTGCATCTTGACAACTTAATACATGTACTTAAAAGTCACACAACTAAGAGCAAACCCTGCTACAGAAAGCAACTTGCAGACACTGCAGATTCTCTTGGGCATGCTTTCCCATGTGGGTAGGGCAGTGTTTCCCAACCTGTGGGTTAGGACCCAAAAGTGGGTCACAAAGCCTCTGAGAGTGGGTCACAGGCCAGACCTCCCTAATGCCCACCCCTGCCCTTTCCATCACTCCCTTTTGTATTCTGGAAACTAGAATCACAGAGTTGGAAGGGACCTCTAGGGTCATCTAGTCGAACCCCCTGCACAATGCAGGAAGTTCACAAATACCCCCCCCCATCTCCAGTGACCCCTGCTCCATACCCAGAAGATGGCAAGAAACTTCCAGGATCATTGGCTAAACTGGCCTGGAGAAAAATTGTTGCCTGGCCCTCAAGTGATGATCAGCAGTTCCCTGGGCATGTAAGAAAGGGACACGAGACCTAAGCACTGATGCAACCCTTCCTGCCCTCCCTCTCATGATCTGCCCAAGTTCACAGAATCAGATGGACATCTAGCCTCTGTTTGAAAAACTCCAAAGGAGAGCCCACCCCCTCCCAAGGCAGCCTGTTCCACTGAGGCACTGCTCTGTCAGGAAGTTCTTCCTAATGTTTAGCCGAAAACTCTTTTGATTTAATTTCAACCCATTGGTTCTGGTCCGACAGAAAACAACCACGCACCATCCTCAAAATGACAGCCCTTCAAGTACTTGAAGATTATGATCATATCACCTCTCAGTCATCTCCTCTCCAGGCTAAACATACCCAGCTCCTTCAGCCTTTCCTCATAGGACTTAGTCTCCCCCCCCCCCCCCGCAAGTCTTCATTGCCCTCCTTTAACACGCTCCAGCTTGTCTATAGCCTGCTTGAATTGTGATGCCCAAAACTGAACACAATACTCTAGGTGAGGTCTAACCAGAGCAGAGTAAAGCGATACTATCTCTTCATGTGCTCTGGATACTATACTCCTATTGATACAGCCCAAAATCGCATTTGCCCTTTTAGCTACCGCATCACACTGCTGACTCACGTTCAATGTAGGGTCCACTAAGACCCCTAGATCCTTTTTGCACATACTACTGCTAAGACAAGTCTCCCCCATCCTATAATTATGCATTTGATTTTTCCTATCTAAATGCAGAACTTTACATTTATCCTGGTTGAAATTCATTTTATTTGTTTTAGCCCAGTTTTCCAGCCTGTCAAGATCATCCTGTATCCTGACTCTGTCTTCTACTGTATTTGTTACCCCTCCCAATTTAGTATCATCTGCAAATTTAATAAACATTCCCTTTATATTCCTTCATCCAAATCATTTATAGATGTTGAACAAAACAGGTTCTAGGACAGATCCTTGAGACACTCCAATTGTCACTCTTCTCCAAGAGGATGAGGAACCATTAACAAGCACTCTTTGGGTGTGATCTGTCAAGCAGTTACAGATCCAACTAGCAGTAATAGGATCCAAACCACATTTTACCAACTTGTCAACAAGAATATTATGTGGAACCTTATCAAAAGCCTTACTGAAATCAAGACAAACTATGTCTACAGCATTCCCCTGACCCAGAAAGGTAGTAACTTTTTTGAAAAAAGAGATAAGGGCTATAATCACACACACTAAATAATCCACTTTCAATGCACTTTCAAGCTGGATTTTGCCAGTTCACACATTAAAATGCAGCTGGAACGTGCATTGAAAGTGGATTATTTAGTGTGTATGATCACAGCCAAGGTTAGTCTGACGTGACTTGTTCTTGAGAAACTCATGCTGGCTTTTAGTAATCACAGCCGTCCTTTCTACATGCTCAAGGACTGACTGTTTGACAGTGTGACTCTGGACACAGTATCTTCCATGTCATACATTAGTTGGTATTTTTTCTTCACTGCATATACATGTTGATCAAATGAGATTTCTGTGGTGAGTTTCTTAGAATCTTAGGGGGGGGATTAGAGAGAGAGAGAGAGAGAGAGAGAGAGTGTGTGTGAGTGAGTGAGTGAGTAATGGAGAAGGAGAGGACGGTCAAAGGCTGGAATGTATCCTCCATATGCAAAGGATCCATATGTCAGAATGCCACTTGCTTGGGGTTCATAGTGGGGGCAGCTGTGTCCTTTGTTACAGTGGTTTCACCGCTGCAGAAAACAGAACGTTGAATTAGATGGATGCCAAGGTCATAGTTTGCCTAGAGCACCAAAAAAGCTTGGGCAAGCACTGGATGGGTCACTATACCAAGTAAATTTGCACTTGTGGCTCACCAAAAGATTGGGAACTGCTGCTGCAGGGAGATGCAGCCTTTCCCCATTACAGTATGTGTCAGATACTTGTTCCATTTTAAAGCATGCAGCCATGCTGAAAGTGCGTCAAATCAACCTCAAATCAGTCCTGTCTTCTCCAAATGAAAGCACAGAACTCAGCAACGTGGATTGAACAATACAAGATATAGCATGCACTTGCTGTAGATATATGAGGAAGTATGGCTGCTGCTGAAAACAAGCAGCTCTATGTCTCCTTCACCCAATCTATGGTGTCTTCAAAGTTGCCTAACAGTAAGCTAATGAGGCAGTGTGGAACTTGGCTTCCCAGCCTCATAAGCAACAATAAAATGGGCGAGAGCAGGGAAACCAAGCATGCCAGGCCATGTATTTTTCATCAATAGGTTTCAATGGGAAAAAGGGAGGAGACTCAGGGCTGCTGTTTTCAGCAGGAGCTATGCGGCCTCCATAATATCTGATTCCAGTACCACCATCTTTAAGGACTGCTTAGTGCTTCAGTTCAATGGTAAACTTGAAAGCCTCATTAGGCTTACGACTAAATAAAACCCTCTCTCACCAACGCATCTAAACAGTCAACACAAGACAATATATGTGGATCTCTGTGCCTTATTCTGATGCCCCATCTGTATGAACAAATCGCACCTGCATGTCTTGATCTTGGGCTTTTAATTTACTCTCAAGTCTGTAATTTTCTTCTTCTAGGATAAGGTCAGCATGACCGCTAGGCACCTGGTGTTCCTTAAGGGTATTAAGTGCCTGCAGCAATTCCCTTGTCCTCTCTCTGCAGGTTTTCAGAGTGGCTTCAGTCTCTTTGCAGTAATTAGCGTTTCTGGATTCTAGCTCCTCTCGCATTTCCATGAGAACTTGAGCTTTAGGTTTCAAGAGCCGACCCTTAGGCAACAGCATCTCGCTGTCTTGCTTTATTCTCGTCTCAAAGTCTTGTACATCAAAAGGAACCGAATACTCTTTAACTGTTCTGTCATTGCTTTCCAGTTGCTGCAGCATCACCTCTATACTGTGAACTTCTTCCTCCATTTGTGACACATCTTTCCATATTTGCTGCATCAGAAGGGGGAAAAAAGACATTAAGATAATGGCCGCACTAATCAAGCTTCCGAACAACCCTCATGGTAGGTCTTGGCATTTTTCACATACCACGCAACACAGAATTGAGTAAGGAATTTTATTTCTAGTCCTCCATGTACTTACTTGGCCCTTCAAGCTTCTCGTCCTCGTGGCTAGGTAAAAAGTCTTTAAAGCAACACTCGTTACAACACTGATAATGGTTCCAATGGCTGCATATTTAGTATACCTTTACCCGCATTCTCAGCATTTAGACAGCCGCTCAAATATACATTTCACGTTTCCCTTGCACTTCACCATCATAGTTCACAATTACATTGGCAATGAGTTCAAATAATTTATTTTGTGGCGCTATTCCTCTTTCTTCCAAGAGTCAGCCCCTGCTTGTCTGTGATAAATAGACTAAATTATACCAGAAATAGGAACACTCAGAAGGGGTGACACTAGATATATTGTAGCTGTTGCATACAAAGGCCAGAATGTTGGGCATACCCAGGAGACTCCTTGAACAGCAGACTGCATTATCAGAGGGCTTTTGAATGTCATCACACCCAGGAGACTCCTTGAACAGCAGACTTCCACCGCATTATCAGAGGGCTTTTGAATGTCATCAGGTTCAAAAGCCGATTGCAAGCTGGTTGGCTGAGAAAGACAAGGTCCAAACTACCTCACACATACGGAATGAGCACCATGATTTCCAGGCTCCTGGCCTATGTACTCAATTTTCATTATATTTGGCAGTCAAAGTAGAATGTTTCATCATGTTAACATAAAGCGTTGTGGCTTTACACATGGGGCTGGATCTGGAAGAAACCTTCTGCTAAGGGAAGGAGAACCAAGTATTTGTTCCTGCTGCTCCTCTGACATCACTCATGTTACTCCTGAATACTGCCAGGGAACAGTTTGAGGCAGAGACCATTACCACTGATGGAACTCCTCTGTCAACAGTGGGATCCAAGCCAAACTCAATAACGGAAAGATGACTGAATTACGTTTCTTAAGGAAGATGCAGAAGCTTAGCACTCCACCAGCGATGGCTATCAACCTACTTAATTTGTTAGGTATTTTTACTGTAGATAAAAATCAAACCATCAGTAGAGCCTCTGGTTTAGGACACTTGCATTAAGGTAGCAATGACCCACTTTAAGCCTTTTCCTTTTAAATTACATTTTCTAGCTTAAAGGGACATCTAAGCACAAGAACCTAAGTCCACCGGATTCCAGACATCAAGATAATACCTCTACATAAGAATCCAAGTTCTGGTTCAGTTCAGGGATACAGAGCTCCTGAGACACAGCTGAATGCGAGTTCCCGCAAGGCTCCTTAAGACTTTGAATCTGAGTTAGCAACTCATGTTGTTTTCTTCTCTCACCAAGCAGCTCCATTGTGTAGTTGCTGATGTTAACATAGTATTCACCCTTCTTCTTGCACAGGCGGGTGAAAAGGAACTGTAAGAAATGGAAAGGTTGTTCAGGAAGACATGCAAAAAGTATTTAGTCAGGTGCTGGTTTTGTAGCACAGCTTGACTCTTGAGGCATCAAGAATGAAAAATGAAAGGAAGGCCATCTGTCTGAACTGGTGCAAAGAATAAGAAAAATCATTGTCCTTCCTCCCTCACCTCCAACCCTACCCCCATACTGGTAATTATAATAAGCTTTTAAGAATTATTTAGAAAGGATATTATGAGGGAGGGAGGGAGGGAGGTTGAGAGAGAGAGAGAGAGAGAGAGAGAGAGAGAGAGAGAGAGAACACACGCGAGCAAGGTTTTTATGTTCCAATTGGCAGTTTCTCCTATCATTGCATCACTACAACCAGAAATCTCTAGCTGTTGGATCATTCCTGGTCCTAAAAGACTTGGTAAACTTAAGACCTACAGAGGAAGGTTTGCTGCACACGGATTCTTCTTTGGAAACATACCAGAGTTTCCTTCTCAGTAAGGAGATCCTCAGAAGTCACTTACACCAAAAGTTGTTTGCTACTGGAAAAGGGTTTTTTTTTGTGCTTCCCCACAGCACTATGGTGTTTCCCCGAACGTCCTGGGTCCCCCCCCCCCAAAAAAAATCTTTCTTGTGATCCTCCCCAAACCTGCTGTTCAGGGATGTTTTGGGAAAGAATGCAGCAAAAACAGGGTGGATGGGAATGTCAGAAACTTGCCAGTCCCGTCCCATTTGCCCTGTCAGGGGAAGGATTTTTATGTGTGTTTTAAATTGGCAATTGAATATTATAACAGTCTTTTTCATGAAACCATATCTGTTCTAAGAATTTTTTTTAACAAAACCTGGGAATTCAGAGAACCTGCTAGTTTGCTACAACTACATAACAACATTCAGCTGCCAATTAAAAAACCCTGCAGGAAAAAAACTCCAAAGGCAGAGCAGGACTGAACATTGAGAGACTGGAGCAGGAAAGCCCACTGTGCGGAAGCCCTGTTGCTGCTGTGCTGTCTGGGCAGCCATAGCAGCCACAGGGAAGCCAGAGAAGCCTCTCCCCACACATGGGAAATGCAAGTGTCAGACAAGCTTTCTAAATAGGCTTCTTGGCTACCCACCAAGTTCTCCTGCAGCATGAAACTGAAGAAACATTCTTGTGCATTCTAGGTTGTCAGCTTAGTTCACACATGGCTCTATAGCAAGGCCAAACAGATCCAGATGGCGCTACATTATATTTTATACATATTGCACATTCAACATGCATAGAGCTCTACGTAACACAAAATGCTGGGTCCCTGCCTTGAGTAGTTTCACCTCAAATTTGACAGCAGGGGAAAAAACAACAACTGGAATAGGCCTTAGAACGCTCCCCCCAAACCTCTGCAACAGAGCAACACTTGCATAAGCTTTCCAGGGCAGGCAGGGCAAATGCACAAAGATATGCCTGAAGGCAGAAAACACCAACCAACACTTTGTGTGCAGCTACAATTTTGTGCATTATGCAGCTAAACAGAAAGATTCTCTAGCCTTCAAGTTTACATTGCACAAAAGCGATCGCTTAGTGATGTTACAGAACATACACGGAGTGTTTTAAAACGGGTACCTGCAGTTTGTTCAGCAATCTGTGGACACTGCTGCCTATAACCTCATGTTCCATTTGGAGCCTTCTGATCTGTTTTGCCTTCTCACAGGAAACATCTTCAAGAACTTTTGTTGCTAGTTCTTTTTGGTTGTTGACTTCAGTCTTTAGCTTAAGAGCAACTCTTCCAAGATACTCATATCTCTTTTCGATCATTGGGAGTTTCTGCAGAGCCTCCTGAAATAAAAGCAACAGCAGAAGGTTCAGTTACAAATAATGGGTTGGAATGAGGGGTCTCCCCCTGACCACGCAGAGAGGCTAGGGCAATTCTGGATCCAGTTTTATTGCTGGAGAAGCAAACTGATACAGCTACAAAAAGGGCTTCCTACCACTTTGGTCAGAAGATGTAACAACTGGGTAAATTGGTGGAAACCATTATTAAGGAAAAAATTAGTAGGCACATAGATGAACAAAACCTATTGAGACAGACTCAGCATGGGTTCTGTAAGGGAAGATCTTGTCTCACTAACCTGTTAGTGTTCTTTGAGGGGGTGAATGAACATGTGGACAAGGGGGACCCAATAGATGTTGTTTACGTTGACTTCCAGAAAGCTTTTGATAAAGTTCCTCATCAAAGGCTCCTAAGCAAGCTCAAAAATCATGGGATAAAAGGACAAGCCCTTTTATGGATCAGAAACTGGCTAATTAATAGGAAACAGAGAGTGAGTATAAATGGGACATTTTCTCAGTGGAGGGTGGTAAGCAGTGGGGTACCACAGGGATCAGTATTCAATCCGATGCTTTTTAACTTGTTCATTAATGATTTGGAGTTGGGAGTAAGCAGTGAAGTAGCTAAATTTGCAGACGATACGAGGTTGTTCAAGGTGGTGAAAACCAGGGAGGATTGAGGCACTCCAAAGGGATCTGTCAAGGATGGGCAAGTGGGCGTCAACATGGCAAATGGGGTTCAATGTGGCCAAGTGCAAGGTGATGCACATTGGAGCCAAAAATCCTAACTATAATTACACATTGATGGGGTCTGAACTGGCAGAGACTGATCAAGAGAGAGATCTTGGAGTTGTAGTAGATAACTCACTGAAAATGTCGAGACGGTGTGTGACTGCAATAAAGAAGGCAAATGCCATGCTGGGGATTATTAGGAAGGGTATTGAAAACAGATCAGCCAATATCACAATGCCCCTATATAAATCAATGGTGCGACCTCATTTGGAATACTGTGTGCAGTTCTGGTCACCACACCTTAAAAAGGATATTATAGCTTTGGAAAAAGTGCAGAAAAGGGCAACTCGAATGATAAAAGGGTTGGAACACTTTCCCTATGAGGAAAGGGTAATGCGCTTAGGGCTCTTTAGCTTGGAGAAACAACGACTGAGGGGTGACATGATTGAGGTTTATAAGATTATGCATGGGATAGAGCAGGTAGAGAAAGAGGTACTTTCCGCCCTTTCTCACAATACAAGAACTCGTGGGCACTCCATGAAATTGCTGAGCGGTTGGGTTAGAATGGATAAAAGGAAGTACTTCTTCACCCAAAGAGTGATTAATACATGGAATTCACTGCCACAGGAAGTGGTGGCGGCTACAAGCATGGACAGCTTCAAAAGGGAATTAGATAAGCATATGGAGCAGAGGTCCATCAGTGGCTATTAGCCACAAGGTATAGATAGGGGCTCTGGGGCAAGTGATGCTCTGTCTTCTTGGTGCTTGGGGAGGGATCAACAGTGGGAGGGCTTCTAATGTCCTGGCCCCACTGGTGGACCTTCTGATGGCACCTGGTACTTCTGGCCACTGTGTGACACAGAGTGTTGGACTGGATGGGCCTTTGGCCTGATCCAACATTGGCATCTCTTATGTTCTTAATGGTTGAAGTAAACAACCCGAACGGCAGATCTAGAAATGGCAGTGAAACAGTAAACCTTCCTCTCAGAATCATACCAGATAGGATTGCAACGGGCATCAATAAGTAAGGCATCTCCTGGTATAAATCTGTAGTGCGAAATAAATGCTCTCTCACATCTTAACACACTTTCAGGTCATAAAAACAGTCTGTGTAATAAATGCAGTTCAATGCATGCATGAAGCCTCTTTATGAACATTAATGCTATTCACCATTATTTTTGAGACTTTTGCTTGAAGCTTTTCAAGGTCATCTTGTTCTTTGCTCTCTGGTGTCTTTTCTTGACGGGTTTCTTCCAATTGCTGCTTCAACTCATGCAAATCCTGCTCCAGTTTTGCATTTGTTTCGGAGAACTAAAAATGCAGAATGTGTATTAAATAGGACAGTGACATAGTTGAAACAGACAGCATGCAACAGGATAGTACTTTTGCAGCTCCATTTTGTTTCAGTCACAGATTTAAAAACACCTCTTTGAGAATGCAGGTGGAATCACAATTTTATTGACTATCACTGTGAGCAACTGTATGCATTTAAGTTTGATTAAGTTTACTAATTTCAATTCGCTGCTTTTCAGACACCACGGTCTTTAATTTGGCAGTAGAACAGCAGCCCAAAGTGATTTGCTTATTAGTGAATTATTTCCCCCCAGAGACAGACTGCACCTCCAAAACTAATTGGAAAAGTTCAAGAAATGGAAAGGTAACTGCAACGTCCTTTGCACAGGGCTGCTCTGGTCTTGTCTTTCCACAAATGACTTTATACTCTGCTTTCCCACACAGTTCAGAAGGTTATAATACACACAGTATTTAAGGCTACAGAGATAGCCAGAATAAGCCAAATATTACACCAACCAGCTCCATTTTTATAAGTTATAGGATGATGCCAACTTTGCATTAGTCTTAGTATAGTTATTACTTCAATAGTCACAGAATGTTCATCTTGCAATTTCTAAAAGTTAGTCACCAACTATGTCTCTAAAACTGACAGATATGCCTCTCTCCACACAACCACTAATAAGAACTGAGCTGGCCTCAGAAAGTTTGAAACTGGAGCCATTTAAAACTGCTTTTAAATAATCTTTTGATTAACACTGTCAAAAGACACCTGAAAACCAGATTGTTACTAGTAGGGATGGGCAAGGAATGAACCACAAGGAAAATTTGTGAGAAATTTTGTCCTGCTCATGGTTCAGGAGCAGAAGTTCATGACCGATTCACTGTCATAAACTTCCATGAACTTTTAGAGTGGTTTGTGGATAAAGCAGAAAGTGGGGGTTTAAAGGGAATCAAAGTTCCTTTAAACCCACTTTGTTCCCTGCGAAAGCCACAAGAACAGCTGAGCAGCTCCCTGAAAAAGCTACACAGTAGGGAGCACCTCCCCGCCATGCACCTGGTTTTTTTGCTGTTATCTGCAGTCCTTTTAAAGTTTAATAGGACTGTACAAGACAGCCCGAAACAGCTGAGCAGAGGGGAGCTTTTAACAGGGTTTGCAGGGCCACAAATCACGTGAACCGGTTCAGTTCATGAATGACCCTCCTGGTTTGTTTCAAGGTTTGGTTCTTCGTTCAGCCATGAACCAGAAATCAAACTGCATATCCCTAGTTTCTGCCCATCCCTAGTTACTGGTCTCAGCTTCTTCTACACTGCATTTTGACAGTGAACAGGCATGAACTTGATTTAACACATATGAAGCCGCCTTATACCAAATTAGACCACTGATCCATCAAAGTCAATATTGTCTTAGGCAGAGGCCTTTCACATCACCTACTGCCTGATCCTTAGTGATGTCAGGGATTTGAACCTGGTATCTTCTGCATGCCAAGTAGCTGCTCTACCACTAAGCCACAGACCCCCCCTAGGGTTATTGCTAGGCTTGTGCATGTGCTTCCCTGGCCCCACTGATGTAGAAATCCTGGTTCAGAACTCACTCTGGTGACATACAGATGCTTGACTCAAGTGGAGCTAGTTTTTCTTCCACAAACTGCAGTTCTAATCCTGGATTAAACCCTGGTTTGGGGGTTGAGGTGAGAACTAACTCAAGACTCGCTTGTACTTATGTGTCATGTGTAACTAGAACAGGAGTCCTACGTCATACTTGGCACAAGAAGGGAGGAAAAAGGAGCTGAACACATGTTCAAGCTTAATGTTGATCTGGCACTACATCTGAATGTGGCCCTAGTCTTAGTCCAACACAGTGAGATCTGGCCACTTATATTGGAAGAGTGCTCTCTAGAAAGCTTTGGCACTTTGGGTAGTTGGCTCTACTCTATAGGCCTGAGATACACATAAGATCCTGGCCCAGCCAAGTAGCAGCTCTTTCAACTGGCTTACTACCATCAAGAAGTCCAGCCCCATCACAAGAATATGGTACTTTGTTTAGACAAACTCTTCCTTGAACACATTAAAATTCTGTCCAGAATTTAGGGTCTCACAATTAAGGTAGTTCAAGCAGCAAGAGGCTTGACTGACTTGTCTAATTTATGTCTGGTACTACAGTTCAAGTGACAAGGATAAATACATTCCTGTTATTAAGCTACATGCCTAAGCACTTCAAATACCTTCTCAGTGTTTTCAAGAAAGCTGTGCCGCAGCTGGTCATTTTCGGCTTTAGCGTTCTCCATTGCTCGCTGGATGCTGTCTCTTTCTGTTTTAAGCATCAGATTCTCCATCCCAAGTTGCTGCATGCTCTCGGCCTGAGCTTTCTGTTCAGCCAGCAAATGGTTGTTTTCAGCCACTTGTAAGCTTAACTTTTCAGTCAGCTGTTCCAACTAGCAAGACAATTTGTTTTTTAAAAAATCAAACTTTCTGCTGATATTTGTTGCAGTCTTATAGGAAAGGAGAATGATGAATAAAGTTCCCTAGCACATAACACTGTCCCCAGAACTCAGCACACAAGAGCAGTGAGGCATACAGAGCAGTCTACATATAAAGCCAAATTTTGCTTAAGACAGATACCAACAGTTTTACAGGGCTGAAAAGGTGAGCTGAGGGCATAGTTACATACATAGATTTTGTCACACAAGTACAAATCTTGCATGCATGTGATCTTTACATTTTACACTTGGTATCTTAATACAGCATTGGGCAGAAACACCCATTTTAAAGTAAAAAAAAAATCATAAAACCTCAAGCCCCCACCAGAGCCTGCCAAAGAATGTGACAAATGCTCCACAGAATGAGAACCACATCAGCTATAAAGGAAAAAATTGTCTGTTTTGTCTACACCTTTTAAAGTCAGGGCTCAGAGAGTTGCTTATTCTGAAGAGCCAGAACTCAGAAGATCCTCACCTAAGTTCTTAACCATTTTGCTCCTTGCCCTGCACCGGAGACTCTGATAACAAATTAGGATGTAAGAGAGAAGGTCCAGGACACCCAGAGATTGGTCACCATACTAGACTCTTTGGACTTTGTGAACTCTGGATTTAAGACTGGCAGTTGTTAGCTGTGGAGAGCTGTGGGAGAAGTAATACTAGTTTCCTCTGCCTACGCAAATGGTGTCCAAAAAGTCTGATTTCTACTCCCTGTAACTCCTTATTGGAGAACAGTGGTTAAAGTTGTAAGGGTTTATGGATAAGTCATTGAAGTAAAATTTGTTGTACCAGAATTGCTGTGAAGGATGTAAATGTATCTAAAGGATGCAACTGTTTTCCAACTGCAATTAAAGGGTTTTCTTGCATACAACAAAGTTTTGCACAGGGTAAAGTTATACAGACGTTGAAAAGTGAAAGGAATGGAATGGAATAAAGAACACACCACGAACATTTTGCAAGACCACAATGACCAGCACTCACATATTTCAATTTTTAAAATGTTTGGAATATGAAGTGAACGTATTGTTGTGAGGCGATTTTACTTACTAAGGTAGTGTTTTGTGGATCACATGCAGTCCAAAGCCACTTGCATGCAACCTTTAACATATCGGTCACCGTAAGTCATTTCCTTACCTTCTCTTTCAGCTGCGCCATTTCTTCCGTAAGTTCTGCTTCTCGTTTCCGAAGCTGCTCTTCTTGCTCAGCAATCAAGCCCTCCTGCCTAGTAACCTGCTGCTCTTGAGATTTTGTTTTCTCCAGCAGCTTCTCCACCTCTGCTTGAGTGTCCACGACCTTGAAGTAAAAGAAAGAACATGAAATGAAAGTTCAGGCTCCTCAAGAACCGGCATTTCTATCCTGAAATGGTAGCCAGAGCATCAGCTGCCTTTTCTGCACCCAGCATGAAAATAAGCAGCGATCAGTCTAAAATGCTTGTCTGGGAAAACAGAGTTCTCCTGCAACTGGAGCTTCAGTTCAAATAAGAATGACTGAGAACGTTTATAAATGCTGTTATGTAAATGGGAAACAGGCTCATACCTTCTGCTTCAACCACTCAGTGGTTTGGCGGAGATCCTCCTGCACTTTCAAAGCCTGACAATTCTCGCCTCTCAGTTCTTCTACAGTACTGTGGTATTCTCTGAGGGAGCCTTTAGCATTTTCAAGCTGCTCTTGCAGTTCCAAACCCTTTCAGTGTAAGAAACAGCAACACGGTTATTTAACTATTGCTGGCTTTGCGATTAACTCAAGTAAAGCATTTTTTCTTTGAATCTGAAAAATCGGACCCTTAGTCCTAAAGCTATTTTTACGTGTATCCTGCCTTTTAATGTCAGTTTCCAAGGCAGCTTATGACATAATAACACCCAGCAAAACAAAACGGACACCATTTCAGATGGTTTAACACACGTAATAGAATCCAGTAGCACCACCATCAGAATGGTAACAAAGCCCCTCATCGACTAACAAAGCCTGAACGAACATGAAAGTTCTTTAGCCCAGTGCCTGGATAGACACGTACCACACTCCTAGTGGAGAGGGCACCCAAACGAGACCTCTGAAGATCTTACCTCTCAGGTAGGATTAACTGGGAGCAGGTGATCCATCAAGCACCCAGGTATCAAACAACTTAGCGCTTGCTTTAAAAGGTTACAACCATCACATTGAATTACAAATGGGAAATCACAGAAATCCCTTTAAAACAAGCAAGATGCAGTTCTGGTAGCTTGTATCCATTGGTAGCCTTGCTGCCGCATCCTTGTATTGACTGAATAAGGATGGCAACTCTGAACAAAGACTGCCCCACATAGGGCGCGTTCAGATGGGCCATTTGAGCCGGTATACATGCCGGTTAGCAATGGACTATTTACGTGTGATCACACAGCCAACATCTGCCTCCTGTCCCTAGCCGTTGCCAACCGGCTCAAACCCTCTTTAAAGCGGAGTATTTTGCTACCAGGTCCCCAAGTGGTGTTTTCCTGGTGCTCCGGTTCTAGCCGCATTTTCCTGATGTGTGATTGTGCCTCTGCCAGTGTAGAGCCACTTCTGCTCGGAAGCCCGAGGCTTCCGCTTTTCATCCGCCATTTTATTTTAGCATCAGCGATATGCGCTTGGGCAAAGCTTCGCCCCAGCGTTAATAAAACGAATTAAAAAATGGTACTTAGTTTTAGGCTTTAGACGAGTCCAGGACTTCATGGAGGCCAGTTTCGTTGTAAAATTTTAAAGAGAAGTGTTTGCTTCAGGGCATGCTTTTGGCGTGAAGATTTCAATTATATGGATGGGTGCCTATATGCATGCGCAAACAGTGGGGGAAAAAACCCCGCTGACATGTGCTGCTGCGCGCCTGTAGTGTGGACGCTCGGGAGCGATGTGCTGCACGAAACCGCTTCGGCACACCATCTGACCGCACCCATCGAGTATATTACAGTAGTCCATAATCAATGTTCTCACAGCAGATGTATGATGAGGTAGCTGGTAAGTATTTTCCATATTAAACAACTGAGTAACAGTGGCCATATCCTATACAGAGGTACTGGCACTTTGGGCACCTCAACAGTTGGGTTGTACTGAAGAGCCTGCACTGTTTATCCTGGGCTATTGATCTGAAGTCTGTCTCACACCAATGAGGAGACCTCAGTTTTGCTGGCATGCCTGATTTTATTTCAGCTCTTCTGCTACCTGTTGATACTGTTGTTCAGTTCAAGAAATTATTAAACCCAACAGGTTTTATTTTAAAAACATGTGGTCAAAGGTGTTCTGTGCTTATTTCCATTATAACTAAGTCTTTCATGGCAATCTTTTAATTATTCTTGTTTTCTTACTCAACTTAGGAAAGTCTCCTAGAGGGAGAGAAGGAAATGAAATCACAGGTGCGTGTGCCAAACTCAAGGGCCCTGATCCCCTTTATAAGACACCCTAAGCCCTTCTTCTTGGCAGCCTGATGGAGATTTGGCTGGAAAATGTAGATCCTTCTGTTTAAGATTCCTTCTGTTTCTGGGCAGAGACCACACACAGGACCTTTAATACCATCAAACCACACCCCCTGCTGTTCTAATCCATATCAGAGATGCTTAAAGGAAGATGCCATATAAAAACAGGAGGCAACATGCATTAACAGATATTTAAAGAAACTGAAAGTTGGCATCACAGCAAAACTTCCTTTACTGGGAAGGCTCACAATAGGTAGCACATCCTTCACTGGAGAAGACTTTTAAATAAACCAGACCAGGAAATAAACAAATCCCCCAGTTAGAAAGGTAGATAGTCTTTGTGAAGGCACAGAAGTACGAGCAGAAGTGAGAAATCCTAGAAGTTTAAGTAGAAGTCATTGTGGGAGAAGACAGCAACACTTATGTCTACTAAACAAGTTGAAGTTAAACTTCTACACAAAATTCTAATCATATTAAAATTCACATACAGTCTTTACCACCCTTCACAAATTTGTAGACAAATGCCTCGGCCAAACAGTTAAAACTGCAAGCCAGATGCTAGACACAAGGTCTGATTTCATTACCTATTTACTTCAGTAACATAACAAGCAAGGACAGTCCTCAATCAGTACAAAATGTCAACACACAGGGGACTTCTGTGCCTGACGTTTGTTATTCTGGTGTAAGAGTTTGCAGAGCTGGAGGATTAAAATGGCGATTCTGAAATTCTATACCTGGCCATTAAAATATACCTGGCCACTTCCCACTATGTTCAGTTCACAAATCTTATGGACTGCACTTGCAGCATTTCATTTTGTTGCATATTCTTGCTTACCTTTGTGGTGGTCTCTTCAAGTAGCTCTTTGAGCTTCTCTTTCTCACTTCGGACAGCATCACATGTCTGCTTCAAGTCATCCCTTTCTAGGACTAAGGATTTTCTTTCCTCTTCACCATCCTGAAGCCTCTCAGCCATTTCCAATTTCTCTCTCTCTTTAGCCTCAAGCTTGGATTCTAGAATCTTCAGTTGCTCTGTCAGTCTTTCCATTTCACTCTGATTTTGTTGGGCTTCACTACAGAGCTGTTCTTTCATATGGAGAAACTCTCTTTCTGCGACTTCTAACTCTTGATTCTTGCTTGACAACTTTAGTAGGTTAAAAACATGAACAACATTCAGTTTTAATGCAAAATTAAGAGTTTGTTCTGTGGCAGTTCAGGGCCAGTCCTATAACTCAGTACCTTTTGGGCTTGTTCAGAGTCAGAATTCTACCTAGAATGACGTCTAGAGAAAAGCTCCAAGCTCTGCTCCCACGATATAGATGGTCATAGACTGTAAAAACAGTTTTCTGAAGCAGAAAATGAGTCTAATCTCTTCACCAAACAATGAAAACCAAGGCAGTGTGCTAGAAAGGCTTCCTATCCTTGTGGTGGTGAAAATGGAATAGAGGGGTGCCCGCCATCAGAGTACGTAATGTGTCGGGCAGGAATCCTATGCATGCACTGGCTCTGAAAGGGGCAGGGTTCCTCCATTTTGGAGTTTGGAAGCTAGAAAGAACATGTCCACAGCAGGCCTGCGCAACAGCAGTTCCAATGTGGGGCTGCACTAGAAGACAGAAGATGAACATTTCAACCTCCCAGGGCGCTCAATGAGGGCATTCAGAGTAGCTGTTTTATTGCAAAGGAATTTCAGAAACAGACTGGAACAGGAGATTGCTGAATTACAAGTTATTAGAATGCTCAGGATAATGGAACCCTCAGGACTTAGCAGAGATATAGGGTTCTTATCTCACTACACATGCTAAGTTCCTCAGTTCTCACTTGTACCCAGAACTGAACTTTGTTGGTCTTAAAGGTGCTGCTGGACTCAAACTTAGTTCTCATATCTGTTGTAGCTCTTGTATTTATATGCTAATTTATATTTATTTTTAAAATATATTTTATTAATTAAATTTATACCCCGCCCTCCCTGTGAGCAGGCTCAGGGCGGCTATTTACTGCTATTCACAAATCTTACCAACTGCCTTAATCAAATCTCAGCTATAATTGCCCAGTTATTTATGCATCTTGACTCTAACTAGCCTTTCCTGGCAACTAACACCCCCAACCCTCTCTCTACCTGTATGTAATGGTTTAAGTTTTGTTTCATTGTATCTGAAGAAGTGTGCATGCACATGAAAGCTTATACCTTGAAAAAAACTTTGTTGATCTTAACTGGGTGAGGGAAGCTTAGCCAATTATTATATGCTGTAGACCCAGTCACATTAGAGCTTGCTATAGGAGCTCCCCAATCACCAGGTTGGTAAATTTTAAAATGTTCTCTTTATTTTGAATTTTTTTGTATGTGTTATCATTGGAGAATTATGAAATACATATTGTGCTTGTCTGCTTTTTTCTAGAATCTAAGCGCGGTAGCGCACATCAAAAAATTGTATAAGAACTAGCATTTTGAAATACGGGTGAGTTTATAAAATGTAAAATGCTCCTCTATATATTAGAGTAATTTTTATGCTTTTGGTTATTAAGTATGTTACACTCCATTGCAGCTTGCAGCAGTTCATTCTAATGAAGAAATAATTACAGAATGACAAACCTGATGAAGGACACACAAACGGATAGTGTACTAGAACTCCGTCGTTTGTCTGTAACTAGTACTGTATTACTTTGTATGTACTGCTAAGCTTTATATTGTATATTGTAGTGTTATTGTTGTAATCTTGTTAATAATTGAATTCTAAACATTGCATATAAAAACCAACAAATATTTTTTAATTGTACACGGTGATTTACTGTTTTACTGGCTATTATAGAATATGCAGTTCTGGCAAAATTAACAACCTATCTGAGAAACGGGTCTATTACAAAATTTGAGGAGAGATGGAGAATGTATTATGCTAGCAGGAAACAAACTTAAAGTGAGAAAATACCATTTACAAATGTCTGGTAATGAAACATAAATAGAATTAAAATCTGTTCCAAATGCAATATCTCGAATACAAATGAGTTCTCGATATGAGATACATAACAGACTTTCTTTTACACTGGTTATACTACTACTTATCTATTAAAGGTTCTAATGAATATGTAGAAGTGGTGAAAATATGTTATATTAAATACATAGTAATGATGAAACCAGTGTTGTAGTCAAAACAGATTAATTATGAAGTTTGAAACTTAAATGAATACAATTGTACCCAAACAGAAATGTGAACTATTGTATTTTATAGATCTTAAAAACTATAATGGAGGGGATAAAAGGGAAAATAATCTCTGTTCTATACGTTTTGTACTACATGATTGTCTTCGACAAACGTAATTATGTTGTATAACCCTTTTCTATTCTGTACCTCCACTGTTTTCCAAATAAATAAAAGACTTAAACACGCTGAGCATTGTTGGGGTTCTGTTGCTGTGAAAGAAGCAGGATTAAAAATGTGCTGTCTTGGTTGAGCAACAATGGGAAAGTTAAAAAAAGAAGAAGGAAGGAAGACAGGTCTCTTTCCACCCTAAGGGGTTATACTAAAAATAATTTGCTTAACCTTACTTATGGAAAAATGCACTCTGGGATCACACTTCTGCCCAAGGGAATCCCCAGGCTCTCAGCTCTGTCTATGCTTCAGTATTCTTCCGAGAAGTCTTGACAGCTCTAGCCATCTTTTCCCTGACTGCTTAGTGCTGCTCTATGAAGCACAGTGACAGAAACCAAATTCTACGTTACCATGGACTGAGTTGCCCTCATTTCTTCTTGGGCTTGATCCCTCTCTTGCTGGAGCGCATCCTGCTGATGTCTCAAGTCGTCTTTTTCCTGCACTAGAGATCTTACTGCTTCTTCGTGCTCATGAAGCTCCTGAGCAGCCGCCGTCTTATCCACTTCCATTCTGCGCTCAATGGCTTTAAGTTGTTCTCTCAGCTCCTCCATTTCACTCAGTTTCTGAAGAGCTTGGCTGAGTTCTTCTTTCACGATGACAAGTTCCTCCTCTTGAGCACTCCTTGCTTGCAATCCTCCTACGCTGGTCAGCTTTTTTATTGAGGGGGAAAAAATACACCAGTTTGCCAGCCAAGCGTTAGATTCTGAACTCAGGCATTCTGCTTTATTCTAACATTACAAGAAGCTTCGTTCTCTGACCCACTTTACTACTTCATGACATCTAGCCGTGTTTTTGGTTTGTTCTGTCATTTTCTAGTACTCAGCAGCTTTCTTAATCCATGTGCAGATATTCATAGAGTTGCCACTGTGTTCCTGTCTGCCAGTTTTAGACTGATGGCTGTTTTATTCTTAAACCGTTCTCTCATTTTCAAATCAATTTGGACTGCCTCTGGCAGCTATCTGGAGAAATGGCTGATATGGGCCCCAAACAGAAAGAAAGAATTTTCTTTCTTCATGCCACCATCTGGATTCACTAGCAAATCAAGTAGCATGGAGAACACAGGATTCAACGTATGATAATCAGGATTTGCATTTTAAATATAAATCTTACCTAGTTAACTCAACGGTTTTGCACAATGAGAGATTTAGAGCATTCCCCATACCCCTAATAAGCTTACCATTATTTCCTTGCTTACCTTTGAAGTGGCACCTTCTAATAGCTCTTTTAACTTCTCTTTCTCAGTTTGGACAGTATCCCATTTTTGCTTCAAGTCATCCAACTCCAGGACTAGGGATCTTCTCTCCTCATCACTATCCTGAAGCCTCTCAGCCATTTCCGATTTCTCTCTCTCTTTATCCTCAAGCTTGGATTCCAGAATCCTCAGTTGTTCTGTCAGTCCTTCCATTTCACTCTGATTCTGTTGGGTTTTACCACAGAACTGTTGTTTTTTTCATTTGGAGCAACTCTCTTTCCATAACTGCTAACACTACAATCTTGCTGGACAACTTTAGTATGTTAAAAAATATTAATGCAATAATAAGTTGTTCTATGGTAATTCAAGGCCAATCAGTGCCTTCTGGGTTTACTCAGACACAGAATTCCCCCTGGGATGCTATCTACAGAAAGGCTTCAAACTCTGCCCTTCCCTCTTCCTCTCACTGGGGCATGAAAGTAACAGACACCCCTGAAGAAGCCTGCACAAGCTAGAGGCCTCTTCATGGTGTAATCTTGGGGATGAAGATACACTGGTGTAATCTTGGGGATGAAGATACACTTGAGGAGCCCCTTGGATCTCCTACCTGCTTACCTTCTTGTACAGCCAGGTTTTTAATTCCACAGAATTGCAACATACAGCCTTCCCCATCCCTCTTATTATTATTTATTAATCTACAGAAGTCTCTGGGACATGGACACCCAACTCACTCAGGGCTTCAGTATACAAACAACTGGCTTTTCCTCAAAAGTCTTCAGCACCGAATGGCACAATCATACCTAGCAGATACATCCCAGTGTTCTTTATCAATGTACCTATATCTCCCGTGTTTCCATATTCTTCTAGCATCTCAAATTAAGGATCATTGTGTGTACTAGGGGTGTGTGTTCGGTATAAACCAGACCAAATAAATAGCCGAAAAATACCTTATCAGTATTTTTCAGGTATTTATTCAGCCGAATGCATATTAGACAATCTGATTCATAAGAACATAAGAGACGCCAATGTTGCATCAGGCCAAAGGCCCATCCAGTCCAACACTCTGTATCACACAGTGGCCAGAAATACCAGTGCCATCAGGAGGTCCACCAGTGGGGCCAGGACATTAGAAGCCCTCCCACTGTTGACCCCTCCAAGCACCAAGAAGACAGAGCATCACTTGCCCCAGAGCCCCTATCTATACCTTGTGGCTAATAGCCACTGATGGACCTCTGCTCCATATGCTTATCCAATTCCCTCTTGAAGCTGTCCATGCTTGTAGCTGCCACCACTTCCTGTGGCAGTGAATTCCATGTGTTAAGCACTCTTTGGGTGAAGAAGTACTTCCTTTTATCAGTTCTAACTGCTTATTCAGCTGGCCTGAATAAAAGCCAATGTTATTCAGCTTTTATTTGGGCCAGCTATATCACTGAACTGCACTGCTGCAGCAGCAGCATGGCTTGGAGAAGGCATTCCCTTCATTTGTGGAGATGTGCTGTGGCGGTGGCATGACTCCACGAGTAAAGGGAAGGCATTTTTAAATGGCTTCCTGAAGGGAGCCGCTTCAGCGGGAGGGCGGGGTAAAAGTCAAATAATAAATAAAAAATAAATAAAATAAATTTAACTTCCCTGTGCTCATGGAGGTGGGCTGCCAGGATGGCACGACTCTGCAAGTGAAGGGAAGGTATTTTTCAATGTCTTCCCCTTCACTCTCCAAGTTGCGCCCGCCACCACGGCAAGCTTCCACGAGTGACGGGAGAAGGCATTTTAAAATGCTGAATAAATTAGGGTTTCCTGATTGACCCAAATCCCAGTATCATACCGATATTGGGATTTGGGGATATACTGATGTTTTTTGGGTCCAATGGACCTGAATCCAAAAAAGCCTAGTGTTTACTCTGAAAATCCATTCCATTCAGTAGATGGAACAAATCCTGATGGCAGTGGCAGTCTAAGTCACTTTGCAGGTAGATGGAACTTTGTTCTGGCTACTTGTTTGGCCAGTTTATGAAACTCTTTCTTGGTCTGGCAATGGTTGAGTGGGTGGGTGGAGCCTCCTCTATGTTTCCCAGAGAAGGGATACTAAACTGAAGTGCTTGAAGCTGTTCTGACGGCTTCACGGGATTTAGAATGCCCAATGTATCACCCCCACCCCCCACAATCTCCTTTAGAGTGCCTTCCCCGGCCCTCAAGGACCATAGCCTTCAAGACCAAGGTGGCAACTGGGGATTCATAAAGGGCCATCAAAATACTGACACTTCCCACTACGTTCAATTCACAAATGTTATGGATTGTGGGCAGTTGTAGCCTTCCACTTGGCAGCACGTTCTTGCTTACCTTTAAGGTGGTGTCTTTTAGTAGCTCTTTCAGACCCTCTTTCTCCATTTGGACAGCATCCCACTTCTGCTTCCAATCATCTCTCTCCAGGGTAAGGGATTTTCTCTCTTCCTCTCCCAGCTGAAGTCTCTCAGCCATTTCCAGTTTCTCCGTCTCTGTAGCCTCCAGCTTGGACTCCAGGGCCTTCAGAGAGCTAATGTCACTCTCACTCTGCTCTGCTCCCCCAGAGTGCTGCTCTTTCATCATTCGAAGAAGCTCTTCTTGTTCCTTCCCCTTGTCTTGCAGCTCTTGGATCTTGCTGGACAGCTTGAATGGGTTAAAGAATCATTTAGAATCAATGCTTACTGGTTCATGACCAAGGCCACTTTGCTATCCAGGTACTGCTTTATATCCCCCATCCCCTAACCAGACCAGGCAAAATTAAATTTTAAAAGCAGCCATATGACTTTAACGTGGGAGATAGCACACTCTCACGCTGTTCTGCTTCCCCAGAGTGCTGCTCTTTCATCATTCGAAGAAGCTCTTCTTGTTCCTTCCCCTTGTCTTGCAACTCTTGGATCTTGCTGGACAGCTTGAATGGGTTAAAGAATCATTTAGAATCAATGCTTACTGGTTCATGACCAAGGCCACTTTGCTATCCAGGTACTGCTTTATATCCCCCATCCCCTAACCAGACCAGGCAAAATTTTAAAAGCAGCCATATGTCTTCAGTGGTCTCTGGGAGATAGCAAGACCAGGAGAGAGAGGCCTTTTCCACTGTTGGGGGAATATACTAAAACAATTTGTATAAATCACACCAATGGAAAAAACACATTCTAGAATCTCCAGGGAAGTGGATTCTAAACTGAAGTGCTTATTTATTTATTTATTTTTCATATTTGTATCCTGCCCTCCCCGATGGGCTCAGGGCGGCTAACAAGGGCAAGGTCAATTGCCATGCCATAGATAAAAACATATAAAACATAGTAAAACATCCAACACTAAAACCACATTACTCAATCCATTACTAATATCCTAAGTCCAAGATGGTAACACCGCAGTTCCAGATGGTACACCCATAATATACGTGTCCAATGGCAACGGCTTGTCAGATCTTCAATAGTTTCCAGGTTCTTCCTCGGGCCTCGTCGATGCATACCTTGACGGTGGTGGTATAATGGGGGGGGGGCGCGGCTCCTACTCAAAGGCCTGGCGGAAGAGCTCCGTCTTACAGGCCTTGCGGAACTGCACAAGGTCCCGGATCTCCCCCGGGAGCTCGTTCCACCAGGCAGGAGTCGCCACCGAAAAAGGCCTGGCCCTGGTCGCAGCTAGTTTCACATCCTTGGGACCCGGGATGACCAACAAATTTTGGGTCCCCGACCATAGTGCTCTTGGGGGAACATGTGGGGCAAGGCGGTCCCTTAGGTAGGCTGGACCCTGGCCATATAGGGCTTTATAGGTAAGAACCAGCACTTTGAAGCGGATCCGGTATGCTAACGGCAGCCAGTGCAGCGCTTTCAGTACAGGCTGAATATGGTCCCTCCGAGACAGACCCATCAGCAGCCTAGCTGCAGCATTCTGCACTAGCTGCAGCTGCCAGATCTGCGACAAAGGCAGCCCCATGTAGAGAGCGTTGCAGTAGTCTAGCCTCGAGGTGACCGTCGCATGGATTACTGTGGCCAGGTCATCGCGGTCAAGGTAGGGGACCAACTGCCGTGCCAATCGAAGATGATAAAAGGCTGACTTGACAGTGGCTGCCACCTGGGCCTCCATTGTTAATGAGGAGTCCAGGAGCACCCCCAAAATTCGAACCCCAGACGCTGGCACCAAAGGTCGGGAGAGGGAGCCTCAACCCCACACCGGTCCAACTCAGGCCCAGGACCTCTGTCTTCACCCGGTTTAGTTTCAATCTGCTCAACCGGAGCCAACCAGCCACGGCCTCCAATCCCCGATGAAGGTCATCGGGACTCGAGTTCGACTGGCCGCCCAGCATCAGATAGAGCTGGGTGTCATCTGCATATTGATGGCACCCAAGCCTATAACTCCGGGAAATCTGGGCAAGGGGGTGCATATAAATGTTAAATAGCATTGGGGACAACACTGCAC